TTTTTTGCAAAGGTGTTTAATTTTCTTTTGCTGAAGATTTGTTTTGTCAAAAGAGCGAGTTGCTCGCGCTGCTATCGTTCAGGGACCTTCTGTACAATGGCTTTTTCGCTTGTCTGGCCTTATTCTTCATTTTTTTATTCCTTTTCCAGGAAACAGTCTTCGCAGTTAGCCTTTGAGGCTGTTGAGCTTGATCCGAATTCCGGCCTAGCACATTCTTGCCTGGGTAATTCACTTTTCCTTGAATTTTTCAACACCGGACAGGTTAATGAGGATTTGCTGGTAAGATCGAGTTGCCTTTTTATTTGCCTTATTTCTGTGGAAATCAAATAATTGTTTTACTATTTGAACTACTTCTATCGAACAATTGCCCTTTCGATCAGCAATCTTGGTGAAATGTTGTAGTACCAATGTTTTTTCCTCTAGAAACGAGCGTGCAGCGAATATCGTCTCGCTCTGCAGTGTGGAAAAGAATATCGCAATGCCGATTTGCATTTGAATGCTGGAGCTGCTTTCCGGTATGCTTGTTTTTTTCGAAATTAATGTCTTTGAATTATTGATATTATTGATGATGCGCAATTAACGTTTCTTGTTCCTATTTTGATTAGTTTTGATGAAGGTCACTTATCGGCGACCAATATTGTGCTTTATGTTGAAATTGACTATGGTCACCTGCCCCCTTTGTCTACCCCAGCTTACCGCAGCTATATTTCTAGCGTTAAGTGGAAAGGCCCGTGAAGTATTGCCTATCCTCTGATTTTAACCATGATGAGCTCCCGCTACGCTCCCAACGATTACAATCGGTCGATAAACATCTCATGAAAATTTTCCTTGCTAGTACTTTTCATTACTGTCCTTCGCTCCAGGTTGTTCTAACCACAAACAACTTTTCATTGTGTGTTTTCAAAGCAGTCCAATGTGTAATTTTTTACTACTATTGTACTTAACGGTCATGCTATGTCTCAATGTGCTCCAATGCACTTTTAATTAGACAACATGGTGTGGCTAGTTTTTCTAAATTCAATTCAATAGTATTCAGCTATGAAGAGAACTACGCTGAAGCATTAGCCAATCTTCGATTAGCGGTGAAGTATGATCCCAGTGATGTCATCGGTTCTCACGGACGTTTATCATCATTCACGCAATTTCTCGTCAATGTTGCATCGGGCATTCAAAATGCAGGTGACTGCGTGCTTTTAAATTGGCTATTTAGCGTCACTTCGTGCAATTTGTGAATCGATGGCTTCAGTTCGTATAATTTGTTTTCTATGACCAAGTTTGCTCAGTGTCCCTTTCAGCTTTCCACTTGGAAGTCAATTATGATTTTCCTCTGTTATCTTTTCCGATTACTGAC